AAATAAAACATTCAGTTTTCCAGCCAAGAAAAGAGTGAGGAGAGTTCGGGTGGTCTCTTGGACAAATCACCCATTCAGTTTCTGCAATAGGGTCTGCACGCAAGGGAAGGCGCAAGGGGAAGCAGGGCTTTCGCACCGTGGACTGACCCGTGATGGGATCCTACGCGCGGGACCATAACATTTCCTTAGCTTTCTGAACACCTTCCATAACTGCCAAGATCTCAGCTCTAAGAGAGTCCCCCACTCCATCTAAACCTGAGAACATGGCTGAAATGTCATTTTATATGATTTTGACCATGTAGGTAGTAGATACAACCACGATCATAAAACACTTTCAATAGTGTGTGGAGATAAAATGGTAAAGACATGACCATTATCCCAAGTGCAGGCGGACTTTTAAATTGATTGTATTATCCAAATGCTTGCAAAAAAGTCACGACTAGTTTACGTTGACACATCCAAACATCAAGAGTGTAAAATGGGACCACCGATCTGGTTCCCATTTACATTCCTATAAACCAATTAAAGGAATACTCCACGGTGTAAAAGTAAGAATGGCAACGGGTAGGGTACCCGTGCAAATTGCCCTACCCGTTCCCGAACCCACCTATGTATCCTTGATTCCAAACCCGTCTAACTTTTCCTCAATTTCCCAAACCCATTCCGTCCCCATTAAACCCGTCCCGACCTGTCCCACCCGTTAAATCCCTTGACCAAACGTTTTCTACTAAAAAAAAGTATCTGAATGCTTATAGCGTGACTTGAACTCAAATCAATTAATGATAGCGCCAAATCTCTTAACACTACTTTAAGCCACTAAACCATCTCACCTTTTGTGTACTTTAATGAAATAAAATAGATTTTATTAACTTTTGCGTTCATCAAAACAATCAATACATATATATGATTAACAATTCCAACTAAAAATTAAAAGAAATAATATTTAAAATTAGCATTTTATAACTAAATGAAATAAACAATCTATCAAATCCAAATTTACATCAAATGATGATTTTAATCTCAAGAAATTTATACAAATGAAATATTAATAATAGAATAATTATCTTAGTACCTAAAATTTATAAATTTGTGCATGATATATATTATAATAGATTCATATTTATGCATCCTGGGTATCGGGTATTGGATACCCTAAAGTCAAAACCCAAACCCGTCCCATACCCTATAGGGTTTTGATAAACAGGTCCTATTTGGGTTGGGATGGGTCGGATACCCGAAAATTCCCACGAAATTGCCATCCCTATGTAAAAATATATTTACACGGCGAACAAATGCAGCCAAAATTCCCCTTTAAAGGTTTAAATTAGTGATACTAAATAGGTTCAACAGGCCCACTTTAGCCCAATTGACCAACCCCAGCCTGGTCTACCTGAGTATGACAATTTTCAGTTCAGGCTAGGCTTGGGTTGGAAAGATCAGGATTGACCTCAGGCCCAGTCTGGGCTTGAGCTTAGGCCCAATATTTAGGGTTGGGCCTGGGTTGACCTTAAACCTGGCCTAGCCCACCTGACTTGCACCCGTACTCAAAATAGGACATTAATAGAACCAAAGAAAATCCTCTTAATCCACATATGCTTCTTTTAATATAGTTGTATTACAACCAGCTCTTTGAATAGATAATAGAATGTAGCGTCTTTTAAATATGATTGATGTAGAAAATGATAGTTTTCATTTTAAGGCAAGTAAAATATGTGCAGAAAAAAACAAGAAAGTTTTAGGCATTTCTTCATCCACCTAATGTGGCTCTGGGTATGTGCAAGTTCTTCAATCTGAAAACCATTTAAACCAACTCATCTACATGGGGTTTTCTCAATGTAGCCAACCATATTAGGTGATTTTGGGATAGCAAGCTTCACTTGAATCGGGTCAAAGACACCCACCCTTGGAAAGGTATAATCTTGACTTACAATTTTTTCATCTCCTTTATCAGATATAAGGTGGGAAAGGGAGATAGAATTTAGTTTTGGATTGACCTTTAGTGGGGTAACTCTACCTTGGCGAACTCCTTCCCTCGCCTGTTCAGCCTTACCTTAAACCAAGAAGCTTCCATATCCCAGATTTTACCCCCCTCCCCCCTTATTTCAATTGGAATCTAACTCTTAGTAGACCACTAAGGGACCTGGAGCTTAGTGAAATTACTAGTTTCTTGCACACCCTGAGAGAGGTATACTTCTCCCAAAATTCCCGACCTTCGTGTGTGGACCCTTCACCTATCTGGTAAGTTTTCAACCAAATCTTGCTTCAAGGCTTTAGTTAGGGAAGAACAAACTACTGATCAGTACCCCTACAAGAGAATTTAGTGTGCTCGTATCCCTTCCAGGGTCTGTTTTTTTTGTGTGGGAGGCCAGCTTAAAGAAAATCAACACTTATGATCTCCTTCAGAAAAGAACCATGAAAGGTCTTATCTATCTCCTCATGTCTGTTGTTTCTGCCTTAAAGCTGGGGAATCTACCAATCACATCCTGCTTCACTGAGGAAACTAGAAAATTTTGGAACTTCTTTCTAACAATATTTGAATACAGTTGGGTTTTCCCAAAAAATGTGGTTGAATGATTAGGGCAATGGTCAGGAAGAGGATTAAGCAAAAGAGGGAAAACTTTATGGCAATCTGCTGCACATGCTATTTTCTGGAGCATTTGGGAAGAGAGAAATAACCGGGTGTTTACCAATAGAACAAAAAACTATGAGGAGCTGCTTTCTCTAATCTGTTACAGATGCTTCCTGTGGACTTTCAGATCAATTTATTTCAGAGGTGTCACATTTGATGACCTCCAAAGAAACGCTGTAAATTTTCTTCAAATCACATACACCTCAACACTTCCCGCAGTTTCAGGTCTGACGAGGAAGGGGAGACGACCTTGTACTTTGATGGGAGTGATTTTGGAAACCCAGGTGCAGCGGGTATTGGAGGCGTAATTCGAAGAAGAGATGGTATTATCAGTTGGGCTTTTAGTGGGCTGATCGGGATAGCCTCCTCAACAAAGGCCGAAGTTATGGCAGTTTTAACCGGCATTAGGATTGCAAAAGACCTGGGTTTATTAAATCTTACCATTAAAGGAGATTCAGCCAATACCGTTAATTGGTTTTGTAATCCTGACAGTGGGCTTTGGGCCTTAGCTCACTACCTGGCTGAAGTGAGAGACATCCTCTCCTCCTTGAATGCTCACGTGGTCTGGATTCCGAGGGAGCTAAACTTTGAAGCTGACAGTCTAGCTAAATCTGGCGCTTACAGGGATTACTTATTTAGTGATAGTTTTCTGCCTATGTAACTTTCTGAGTGTCTAATTGCTGTGTACATCTCCTCATGTACCTCTCTTTTTATCGAAAAAAGTTAACCTTTTTTCAAAAAAATATTAGGCGGTTTTGGGTACCTAACATAGTCTGGAGGAAGAACTATGTCGCTTTAATGGATTGAATTGCAGAACTCAAACAGCAATATCAGCAGGTCTAGAGCTTCTCATTTTATTTTTTTATTAGGGTTTGGAGGGGTTTAAATTCTTTTGAACTCTGCTAATTGCTTTTATAAATCTTTTTTATGAGGCATTTAGTAAATTATTAGACAACCAAATGTGACTCCATTAAGAGGTTTTGCAACAACTTTACTTGTGAGGCATGTAAAATCTTGGATTTTACTGTTTATTTCTTTGCCATTTTTTTTCTTTTCATGAAGTTTTTAATTGATACAGCTTTTGCAGGTTCTGCTATTGGATTCAAGTTAGACAGCCTTTTGAAACTGACTGATACACGTGCTTCTAACAGTAAGATGACACTCATGCACTATCTTTGTAAGGTAAGAAACTTTTTTCTTAAGATTTACTTAACATCTGTAGTAAATATGCTGGATGTTTATAATCCACGCCTAGTTATGTAGTTTAAGGAAGCTGAACAGTAGCAATGTGTTGTACCCATCCAATATTAACATTTGGGAAAAACTCTCAAGCACATCGAAGATAAAATTATGTATCAGGGTCTAGCTGACCATGACTAGTTAAATAAAAGATATCTATAATGTACTATCATCTGCATACACATATACTCATTTAATTATGCTAAAATGCCTATGAATTGATTGATGTATGAGATGAGATGATAAACAGGGAAAGTGTTCCCCTTGTAGGTTCATGTTTTTTGTCATTCTCCAAATAAATGTGCAGTATAAAAGTTGCATATTCAGAATAAGTAAATAGTTTTACATGAGCAGGAGGTATCTAACTTTTGCTAACCCACAAAATATTACCTATTAAATATACTGGTTGATGCTATGTTGCACTCATCCAGTGCTGACAAAATTTATATTATTTTAATCAGTATTCTTCAGGTAATAACTTGGTAGGAAGTTTCATATGCCCCTTTATCTCCTTTTTCAGGAATATGTGTTTTTTTTTTTATGATTATCAGTAAATGGATATCATTTGGTTTCCTGGTTTAAGGACTTTGTAACTGGGTTCTTGCTACTTTAGCCCATAATCTATATTTTCTCACTTTTCTAGTAACCTCAATGAGTACTTCCATCTAAGCCCCCCTTTCCCTCCCCTTCACCATCTCCTGTGTTTGTCTCTGTTTTTTTCTTTTTCATTCTTTGTGTGGGGTAGTCACACAGGATGGGTTTGGTTCAGATTGATGCCAGCCTTAACCTGGGCAAGGTAACCCAACCTTAGATATTCAGGAAAACAAAATAACCTGGAATGCTAGTCTGTGAATTTACTAATGCACCGAGCAACTCATTTTAGTAGTTCTCTCATCCATGGTAAAGCAGCTATTGAGGAGACCTCATAGTGAAGGATTTAAAAGGACTTGGATTGATTAAGAATCCAAATCTATTTGTTTCATCCAGACAAAAAAATGTAAGGTAGTAGATAACTATAATAGTTGGATAAGTAGGCATATAAGAACTATAGTGTGGGGCTAGGTAACGGGCTAGGACTAGTTGACAGTTATGACAAAATCGTTGAGTGCTTAGCCCACCTATTTCACATGGGTCCTATATAGCAGTGGTGAGGATTTAGAGATTGACAGAACATATAATATCAGTTGTTTTTCAATAGTTGCAAAAATGAAAAGGAAAAAAAATTAAAGGATAAGGAGAAAGAACATTTAGTTCTTTTTAGTCATTAAAAAAAATGCTTATGGTTAGTGGAGAAAAGTTCTATGCTCTATGGTTGTGGAACTCTCGACTTCAATGTTCCACAACTATAGAGCCCCTACTAAAGTGAATAAAATTTGGGAGAGAATCATGTCCACATTGGGGTATGGGAAAGCTCATTTGAGGATGATTTTATCAAGCTGTCAAAAAGGATGAGGAAAATTGTGTCAAGAAGTGTAAGGGCAACAGTGTTATAGTGCACATTTGGGAGGAAAGAATGCTAGAATCTTCAAAGATGAATGCTGCAGTAGCAAAGCATTAAAGGAAAACGTTATAATACAAGTGGCTCATTCGATTTTCTTAGAGGACTTTTGGACTTTTAGATATTGGAGATCACTTCGCTCTTAGAATTATTAGAGGGTGTTTTCTTGGACCCTAACATGAGTGACAATAGAACTTAGATGGTTGATCATTTGGGTAATTTCTCTTGTGCCTCTTATGCTCTATGGACCAGCCCTCTCAAGATTTTCCATTTAAGGAAAATTGATTGGGCCTTACATCCCTTAGAATAAGGCCTTCTGTTGGAAGCCTGTAATCTAAAGATAATACTTTTGAAACCCTTAAAGAAAGAAGGCCACACTGGACCTTATCACATCAGATGTGTTTCCTCTGTAAGGCAAGTCATGAAATTACTATCCATTTATTTTTGTTAAACAGTGATCAAGAACATTTTTTCATTTTTTTTGATGCTAGGTGGTCGCCCACGCCAAATATAGAGTTTATTCTGACCAAGTTTCTTCTCTCCGAGGAAAAGAGGAAAAACATTATGGAGACATATGAGAGCAACTAGTTATGGACAATGTGGGAAGAATAAAATGTAAGGATGTTTTTTTTTTTGATAATTGATAAGATGCAAGGATATTCCAAAACAATTATCAACCCAAAGACTCCACAATTATTCCTGTTGGAGTCAGAGTTATCCATTGGACGTTCAGAGATTCCTTGGGCATGGTGGCTATGTACTGAGGACCAATTGGAGTTGGAGACTCAGTGGGAGCTGAATTAATGGCTTTATTGCAAGGGTTAAGATTAGCAAGTCAACTTGGATTCCAACAGTCAGAAGTAGAAGGGGATTCGAAACTAGTAATATCTTGGATGAGAAGCAATAATCCACGGAGTTGAACATCATTCCTGATTGGGTTAGACGAACAACAAATGGAATGGCAGATTCACTAGCAAAACAGGGGGTTAATTGACTGAACTTGTTTTGGGCAAAAGTGTGATTCTTTTGTAATCTGGGTTGTTGGAATGTTCCAACCTGTTTGTATCTTAATTATTTCCTCTAGTAAAATTTTATTTGCTGATAAAAAAATCAGTTACTGACACTACATTTTTGTTTACTAGAGTTCCGACTTCAGATTAGTAAATGAGAAGGGATCTGGAAGGAATTCTCACACTAACTCTGATTTCTTAACTGAGTTCTGGACCTTTCTTGCATTTGATGACTTCTATACTTAGTAAAACGCATTGTAACTGATTGATGGGAACTGAAGAACTAAAAGGATCTATATGGCATCATTACCTAGAAGAAACTACAAATAGATGTTTCTAAGTTATACTTTTACAGCAAAAAGTTTTGTGGATATAAGTAATTACTAATTGAATTATGAATAAGTGGTATATTGGATCTTAATACACGCCATTTTTATGTAAATTCTCATCTTTCGATATTTTGATTCCCAAGTACCTAATGATTGCATGTTCTAAAAATTTCCATGTAATCTCAATCTTGGATTTTCATGATCCACAGGTGCTTGCTTCAAGATCACCAGAACTTCTGGATTTCCACCAAGACCTTGTTAGCCTTGATGCTGCATCCAAGGTTTCTATCCTTTGTTTTTCACTTCTTAATGTCAAAACCCTATCATTGACATGTGGTGATATCCATACCATCTTGAGTGCAGATACAATTGAAATCCTTAGCGGAAGAGATGCAAGCTATAACCAAAGGCTTAGAAAAGGTCAAGCAAGAGATGGTTGCTTCTGAAAACGATGACCCTGTATCTGAAATTTTCTGTAAGGTATCATGATTTTTAATATTAAAATGTTGTTTTATGGCTTAATCTTTTCTCTTTATATCACAGGTTGCATGCCTATTTTTTGATTAGTTGTTGGCATCACTATTTTTGAATTTTTTTTCTAGACTCAACTATTCATTTATTGCCCACTGTCATAGGTAAACCTGTTTGTAAAATCATTTCACAAGCCAGAATTTTGATAGAGATGGAAGTATCCTTTCACGGCTTCATATTTCGAAACAATAAATGCTACTTGCACTTTCTCTTTGGCTGGATTCGTCCTAACAAAGATTTGTTGTTTAGACCTTGAAGGAATTCATTGGTGTTGCCGAAACAGAAGTAGCAGCCTTAACATCATTGTATTCTAGAGCAGTATGCCACTAAACATATACCTAACATCTAGACACATTATCTGGTTGTACCTAGTTTATCTGATGACTCATGTTTGACCCATGGACAGGGTAGAAGTGCAGATGGACTTGCTCTTTATTTTGGTGAAGACCCTTCTCGCTGCCCATTTGAGCAAGGTAACTTCTATAAATAAAAAATTTCCTAATACCTCTTCTCTTGTGTAGAGATGTTTCCTACAAGTACTCAACTTTTTTGATCTTGTGCTATTTCTGGGATTTATCTTTCAAAACCATCCACTTATCAACTCGTCATTTAACCTAGCAACAATATTTTGAGGTAAAAGAGGATATTCGTGAGAAAATCACAACATAAAGTTGGGAAGAAGCATTCTAGCATGAAGTTGTGATCTGGTTGTTTTTAAGCAAGAAGGCTTGCAAAGCTAGCAGTGGATCTGATGGTCAATCTAACAATGAATGAAGGGGTAAAGTTTTTGAACAGGTGATGAAAAAACAAAAAGCTCTAGAGCTATGCACCTTTTTTGTTGCCTATGAAGATTTAAAAGAAAAATTGCATGCAAAATTATACTAAATCTAAGCTATCGAGTCTTGAGGCCCTGAGGAGAATTTTATGGGTCTTTGCAATGGGAAGCTAAAGGAAGAAAGAGTAATGATCAATGTATTTGTTTCATAATGGACCACTGAATTTAAAAACTATAAACATAACCTACTAGTTTAATTTGCACTGACTTGGCATATTCTGCATGTCATCTAGATGATTATGTTGTATCCATTCCATTAGCTTTTAGCTGAAATGTTCTTCAGAAATCTTTTTGTCCCTTGTAGGGCTGTTCATAAGAAGGCCCAACCCGACCAAACCGACCAACCCGGACCGACCAAACCCGAGTCGGTCGGGTTTTCATCAGCACGGGTCGGTTTCGGGTTGTGCAAATTCCTAAACCGATGATTTGGGTCGGTTTTGGTTTTCACACAAGAAAACCGAAACCGACCCGAACCAAACCGACTTAGTTCAAACATGAAGTTCCAAAGCCCATTAGTCCACCTAGTTTTTGAATGGTTGCAAGAAACTTTGGATTAGTGAATAGTGATTAATGAACAACTTTTGTGATTAACTTTTCATTTAAATTTTATCATAGGAGATGGCTGAAATGATGTTCAATTTAGGACTGTTTTTAAAATTAGCAAGATTTTATCACAGGGATGAACTTAGAACCGAAACTGACCCAAACCGACCCAACCCGGCTCCAACCGACCAGGTCGGTTTTGCTTGACACTGGGTCGGTTTCAGTTTCTATGTCAGGTAACCCGACCAGGTCGGGTTGGTTGGAAAAATTGCAGTAAACCGACCCAACCCGACCCGTGAACAGCCCTAGTCCCTTGGATGGAATGTGTGTCTAATATATTCATATTGACAGTGTAAACCTGCTAGGTCGGACCTGATGGATGGTTGTGACTAATATTTCATGATATTCCCCTGAAGGATTTGGCAGCCGTTAAACTTGTTTTCTGCTGTTGGTTACCTAACAATATGATGAACCCTGCCTCCCAAAAGAAGAAGAAAAAACAACCCTAAAGGCCTGAAGCAATGCTTTTTAAGTGTGCCATATAAATATGCCTATAACATTCGTTTCCTTGTGGTCAGTGGACAAGAAACGTTTGCATATCAAAATGTTCTAGAGTTCTATAGAAAAAAAACTGTCTGCATATATATAACCTATTACCTATATACATATTTATATTTACTCCTTTAAAGTCTGTGATGCTCCCCAAACATGATATTGTATCTGCTTATAAATTTGTCATTTTACACACAACCCATTTATGATCTGAGAATGAATTTAAAGGAAAAAGAAATAGATAAGTTCATTTATCGTCTAGATTTCTTTTGTTCCCAAAGTTTTCATACTCATTTAAACTCCATCCAGGAAGGTGAAGGTTACATTCATGTGATGTTCAATTATCTTTCCTTTAGATGATGAATCTGAAGTTACTTCTTGCAGCACATCTAATACTGGACTGAAATTGCAGTTACTACAACTCTCTCAAATTTTGTGAGGATGTTTCGTAGAGCACATGATGAAAATTGCAAGCAGTCTGAGCTGGAGAGGAAGAAAGCCCAGAAGGAGGCTGAAATGGAGAAGGCAAAGGGTATTAAACTAACAAAGAAAACTGTGAAATAGTTGAGATTTCCCCCCTTCATATGCCCAGACAGGAGCACCAGTTCCCACTATGGATCAGCCTGCAGCCAAAAACTCTGCCCGGGATTATCTAAGAAGAAAGTTGAATCCGCTTTAATCACATGCAGAAGAATTTCCTTTACAGGAACCTTGCAATGGTAAGCTTGTAATCTTTCCAAATGACAAGCTTAGTGGTTTATAGGCTGTTTGTTTAAGAAAAGAAGGCTTAGTTTCTTTTTAGAAAAGGCTTAGTTGTTCATATCCAGTGTAGAACCTCACTTCCAGAAGTCTATCCAGACAGTCATTCACATGTAAGTAGGGGTGATCATTTTCAGCCCGGCCTGCGCATATTTGTTGTTTATACATACATACACATATGTTATTTTATGTTATATTTTATATTTTATGTATAAATATTATAATATGACACCTGTGGTACGTATTATAATAATATTTTATATTCATCATTATCCATGCCTTATCCCAACTATATGGGGTCGGCTACATGAATCCTGTTTCACCAATCTGTTCTATTTAAATTCATATCCATTGTTAAATTATTAGTGCTTAAGTCAAATATTTTATTATTATATAAAATTTTATACACATTTTATATGACATATAATATAAAATATCACATATATTTAATATTTTATACATAAAAACTAGAGACCTAGAGTCAGGCCCTGCCTGGCCCATGATCACCCTACGTGCAAGGCTTAAAGCATTGATATTTATCAGTGGATATCAGCTATAAACCAATGTATACTGTCATTCATAACCCTATATTGACTCCATTGAATTTCGAGTGCCCATGCTAATCTGGAAATTCCCTTAAGTCTCATAGTATTAACTCTCAACTATTTAAACTCAAGTTAATTCCTGCATATTTTTAATTTCGACTTGCAATACTTTGAAGTATTAATTAAAAGTTATATATTGCTGCAAAGACTTGAACCCCGGTTGCCATTGAGAAGGACAAATAACCTCACCATTGCACCATGCCACACCAACATGATAAAATAACAGTGGTTCTAAGTTTTATAATTCTTAAGCCACTTTTATTGGTCATTAAAATTAGTATACTTTAAGTATTATTGAGATTTGTATTAGCTTGAAAAGGTATACATGCATACTTTAATTCTTTTACTATTTTTCGATGTTTCCCAAGTTTATCCTAGAAGTGTATCCTGGTATTTCATATTTCACATAAACTATTAAAATTTGTATTTCTTATGTGTTTATTTCCTAGTTGTAGTCATTTAGGCTTTAGATTTAGTGTTACTAGTGTTTTCTTGGCAACTGCAAGTTTCCTTGGTGTATCCATGAGTTAATTTTTCCACAGCACCCTTGCATTTCCAAAGTATACCCAATATGTTTCTTAAAATTGCCTTTTCAATGCTCTTTGCAGTACTGATAGTTTGAACCCTGTTGACATACCACCAAGCATGATTATTTGGTCTATCATATTACTTCAGGAACAAAATTGAATTACAAACAAAATAAATTAGAAGAGGCACTAGAGTGTTTGTGTTAAATGTGTGGTCATTCAATTAAAAAGGATTAGTATTACATGAACATGAAACATATAATAAACATCTCAGTATAACAAATTCTTAGTTGTGTCCCTAATATTTTGAAGGGGATCAACATCTGATGGTTGATTCTCAACTGCAGGCTTTATGAGTGGTCTTCGAGATTTTCTCCAGCGGTGGTACTTTTGACCCAGGGAAGGACTCCTAATGAGATCATCAAAGTGATGGTGTGCTGCTACTACTTAATTTATATACAACTATGGTTATTAATTCCTCAGTGTTCAGGATGATAGGGAATTTGAATTTGGTTTCTCTTTTCTTTTGGCAGGTATTTTTGACACCTATTGCAGATATCATTAACTGTAAAGCACAATTCAGCAATGTATCCTCGAATCATGTACAGAGTTTTGACCCTACCCATACTTGATTCTTTTTTATGTAACATAAAAGGCGGTTCTTTTGTTTTTTTATTGAGATTTTAGCAGGATCGAATCAAGTTGTATAGAAATTGGGAAATGGAAGAAGAAAAAAGGAGGGCAGTCTTTCTGCAATTGTAATATAACCAAGCACATGCAATCAGATGTAAGCCACTTGTTCTATATTCTCATTTCTCAGTAGTTAGAACATCCTTCATAGAAGGAAAGCCATCTCCAATTCTGCATGCACTCCATCTTGTTTCTCTTTGGTATTTGCAGGATGCCTTCTGAATTGCAAATTGGCAATGGGAATGCACATGTATTCATACAGTTCATCCAGCAGGCCCTCTTTTTATTTGTGTATACTTGGTCTCTAAAGAGTTGTATTTATGGATGAGTTAAAACGAAAACAAGCATTTTAATTTGATAGAAAAGTTCTCAATTTTCATATTGTCAAATTGTTAATACCTATGGGTAGACGGCAGCGAGGTCTGGTTTTCATTCAATAACACAATGCAAAGAAAATTATTGAAAGGAAATTTGATCAGAGATACAAATAGCTTGATGGGGAGTTCCCCTCAACTAACCAGTCATGCCAGTAACCAAAGCAGAAAGAAAATACCAGTTGGATATCTCAACTATGTTTCATATAGGTTTTGTCCATCTAAGAGAAAGCTTATACTGAAGGAGGGGGGGGGGGATCTTCAGTTCTTCACTGATGTCCATGAACTTGTACTTCCTTGCTGTTCTCGGAATCTCATCTTTCTCTAAGTATTTGTTCCTGAAAACTCTGCAATTTCTTTGTGTTCATAGACGGTACAACTGTGGGTGGAAATTGGATGGTATTCCACACAATGCATGTCAAAGGTCCTCCATAATCTATATATTTTGTTGAGCGCGGATTTGCTGCCCACAAAATGCTATACCCATAAAACACTGCAGCCTCATATCAGGAATATCTACTGTACTTCGTCATTCATGGAAGATGTTCCCCAATCCCCATGTACAGGTTAGTGTCTTGTGGTTAAGTCTGGGTAGCAGATCCGTAGTTTATTTTGTAAGGGCAAGCTTCTCTGAAGATGATTTTGAATCACTCTGCAGGATTCAGGATCATCAGTTTAACTGAGAAATGTTTGATCATCATGAGTTCGGTGGAATGAGAGATGAAGTGTTTGCACTTGTTTAGAGAAGTAGATCGTCATAATTTGATTAGCTATTTGAGATTCCGTAGAAGCTGTAGCCCCTTAAAAAAAGGCAGTATTTTACCATTCTTTGAAGATATGGTTTCCATATATAAGATGGATTTGTAAGGCATATACTTTGACTAATATCTTTTGAGGTATATATAACCTGTCACAAACTCCGGCCGTAATTTAGGGGATACTGCTTGGTTGGAAACGCTTCTCTTTCTTCCCTTGCGAAGAACAAACGCTTCTCAGGTGGTACCCCAAGTCCGGGGAGGATTGGGAGTGGATGTCTCACTCTCGCACGTTTTACAAGATAATATTACAGATGCTTATCTCAACCACTTCTGTTTTTACACGAGAGCGAGAGACAGAGAGAGAGAGAGGCAACGCCGATCTACAAGAAAAGGGAGAACTAGAGAGACAAAAATGAGCCGACCTACCAAGGAAAAAACAAAAAGCAGAAAGCTTGAAATTTCTCAGGAGTTGATAGCGTCCAACTATCCTTTTTAGAGTCGCTTAAACCAAAAAATTATTTGAAAGGTGGTTGGGGAGGCGTTTCCCAAGTACCAACTTTGTCTGTGATGTTGATGAAGTCTTATTCTTCACGTATATATTATTGATGAATCTTTTGTTTTTATGTCTTTTTCTATTTTCCAAAAAAAAAATTTAATAATGTTAAGAACAAATGCAAAGTATTGGTGTCACAAGATTTTGGAACGACAATTCAAGAGGATGCATTTGCAAAACAATAGGATATGGTAGAATGATTATAAGATACAAACAAGGTTCAAAGCATCGAACCATGCATATTGGTTTTTAGATCCACCTACTAGGAGTTAGGATATGTAACTACTTTTAAAGGTTATTACCCTTCTTAGAGATGCCCTGGCTCAATTCTTGAGAAACTGTATAATTAAGATTATGTCCCTTTAAATTGCACCATACACAATTTTTGTGTATCATATAAATACTTTGAACCTTGGATATGGATATCATGGCGAAACCCATATATTACAATTAAGCATATCAACAATACAAATCCCACAATTCAATTGGCTACAAATAAGATTTAAACGTATAAGAAACACATGCTTTGACAGTTTGTATGAAGTAGTAATATGTTGCAATCAATACATTATTTATAGATATTAATATACCTTTGTATTATATTTTAATTAAATTAAACATATATTGGTTTGACATAAAATTGTTTTTAGACTCATATCAGTCAATTGGTGTATTGTGTCCCTCAACCCCAAAAAAGGATATGAATTGACTTGTATCAGCCATACTGTATCTTACTTTGAATCTCAATTATATATTTTGGGTTAATAAAAGGTGAGGATGAGTTGCCAAAGGTCACTTTGGATCTGCTACCCACATACTGATCCCGTGTCCCTACCGCCAGAATACAATGGCCGTGTCCATGAATAACAAATGAGATATTCTCAATGCACATCTGTAATGTCCTCGGGGTCGGAATGTGGGAACAGCTTGTGAGTAGTATATCCAAGCCAGCCAAAGGTTGGGTTGGGTCATCCTCCAAAATTATTAATTTGAAAAGTTTACTATTAGAAATACAACCTCTCTCTCTCAACATTCAAGTATATATAGTACTCAACAACCATGACTATATCTAATCCACAACTAGTACTCTGATAAATTCGATTAAAAAAAAGGAGACTGTCTATAAATGACTTGATTTTAGGTCGATAAACATTGCATAGGTGGCCCCCAAATTAGATGGCAATTATTGGATTAGTAGTATAGTAGGTACGCGAGTATTGATCATAAATTCCTAACTTATGCTCAATTTTGCATCAGATTTTGTAACTGCAATTGTAAATTTGAAACTTATACCCATGCCTTCAAAACTTAAAGAACAATATAGGTAAAAAGAGAGATCACATCTCCGCCCCATAGGGGCTGCCCCACAATGCCCCACAGCACATCTCGACCGTGTATTGGGAACACCTTCCGATGATAGTACCACTCCCGATGATGTCATTATTGGAAGATGTTCCCAATACATGGCCGAGATGTGATGTGGGGCATTGTGGGGTGGAGATGTGAACTCCTAAAAAGAAGGGAGAAGCATTACCTTTTAAATGATTGAACTGGAATGTAATCTAAAAAGAGAAAAAAAAAAAACAAAAACTAGATTGTTTGTAAAACATAATGCTCTGTTTATATAGATTTTATCATCTTGCTTCTTACCTAACTCTCAGACAGATAACCCTCATCCTATCTCTATTCTCCTCCCTTCATTTTACTTTCCATAAACAAATAAGAGAAAAATCAAATCCAAAGCAAAAGATACACTCAGCCTATTTACACTCCCATGCATTTCGCTCTGAATCTAAGAGGTAAATATCCAAATTGGGATCTGCTCCTCACAGTCACATCCTATTGTGCATTGGGAACATCTCTCATGAATGAATAGTAACAAACAAGAACGAGAGATGCTCCCAATGTGCGGCTGGAATATGCTGATGTCGGTGTGAGTGCTCTGTGAAGAGCAGATCCAGACTCAAAATATCCTACTTTTGTGCCATGATGCTGATCATTGCCCTGCATTAATTTGAATGGTGATAAGAATTTTAATGCCAACCAACATTGTCAAGGTGTAAGTTCAATCAACCACAAAATTAAACTTTTTGCACATGCATTGCTTTTGGGTAATAATGCATTGTTGTAATCTCATAGAAGCGATATAATATAAGAGTGCCGAGCAACTACAGATTTCCTTAGAATCTGGATTTGGTTCCTCCTCTAATTAACTTCCTATCCAGACTTTAAAAGTTCAGATCCTATCTGTAAATCTCCTCTGTACCATTCTCTTAGAGGCTGTGTTTGGTCTATATTCCTTCAATTTTCTGATAAACCAGAAACAGCCTTTATTACTTGTTTCTAATTCCAGCGCATGAGATTGACCTATATACGTACATTTAATTGAATTGATTTTTGAATTAAATGATTGATCTCTGGTGTTATGGGATGTTTATAGGTTGCATCACCCTAAACATGTATACATGTAACTATTCCATCTTATTAATTATTATTCTACCTATTATATTTATGCATTTCACAACACTCAAACTTTTGATTTTTCCTCTTCTTTCGTAAATAAGCTTTGACATTTGGACCAAATTTGGTAAACAAAATTTAACTTTTCTAGGTAACTTTTTTTCCTTGTCCACGTGGCAAATTTCACTTCCACTGCTATCGCCCATCTCTCTTCCAAATTGAATGATGACCGCGCTCTCATTGAGTGCCCCTGGGTGTTTGGTCGCTCGTACATTGAATCATCACTCTTTTTTTTTTTCTCTTAATCTGAATTCTGAAATAATAAACTGTGTATATGCAAATCCATAATTAATGGAATATATAAATAAAAATTGAGAGGTCAACTCTGCTATAAACAATCTAGGTTATCTACCCGATGCTCCACATGGCTACAGTTGTCTATGATATAGACGGCCGTATTGAAACCTCCCAAATTTATCAGAGATTTTGATAAATATTGCAAAAATATCCCAATCATTCATGATTTAGGGCCTGTTTGATAAATCTTTTTAGATAGATCTTTTAACAGTCCGGTAAATAAAAAGATATATTGAATTTTTAGGGTCTTGTCTTTAAAGATTAAAGACTGTTTGGTAAGTATTGTGGTCTAATGGACGGTTAAAAACATTTAGTATATATTTGGCATCGATGGTGCAGTTTCTCAGAAAAGGGTGCTGCTGATGTATGGGTTGGAAAAATGGTGTTTTTTTTTTGTTTGGAATCATTATTGTCAGGTAGGATGTTTCCTGGAGCAACAACTTTTTCTTTTTGGTACCAATGCTCCAGGAAACGCTTTCAGCACTAGTACCTATTATCCAGTGCCACATCACTGCCCTGTTGGCAGCAATGAGCTGCAGCTCCAGAAAACGCCAAATTTTGCATTGCTCCAAGCCATGCCTTCCCAACTTTTGAGGCATGGCTTGAAGCACCATTTTTTATGAAAAAACAGCTCCAAACAAATGCCCATTTCTTGGAGCACCGTTTTTTCCAACATGGCACTGATGTTGTGCCATTTTCTGGAGCAATGGAAACGATGCCATATAGACACTTAGTATATGTTTGGCATGATGTTGCATATACAACACCATTTGCTGCTGATGTGTGGGTTAGAAGCACCGTTTTCTGAGAAAACGGTGTTTTTTTTTTTTGTTTGGAAACGTTGCTACCAGGTAGGATGTTTCTTGGAGCAACAACAACGTTTTCTATTTGGTA